TGGCAGCGAGGGGCAAGCAGATGGTGTAGGCAAAAATGGAAGGAAGGGAGCCCTGTCTGGAGAGCAACCCCCCCCCCCTCTCTCTCTCTCTCACACACACACACACACACACACACACACACATGCGCAAACATACAGATGCAAACACATGCAGCCCACTGCAAAACAGCCCCTACTCCCTGCCATGACCTCCCACGGCGGTTCACCTGGCCAGGCCCCAGAACCCCCCAGGGCCCAGCCCCTGAGTCACTGTGTGGGTTGTGTCAGGCAGCCTTCTCCTGCCTCCCAAGGGACCCACCCACCTGGCAGAGCTGGTAGGACTGGGGACCTGGCAGCAACTCAGATGGGGCCATCCCGGGCAACTCTCAGGGAGGCTCCCTGGCCAGAAACCGCCTGCTCCCTCACAGGCCCCGGGCAGCCCTCTTCAAGCAGCAGGCCCTCGTTAAGCCCAGTGCCAATCTCCAGAGCAACACTGAACGCGTCCTCAGGAAACCACATGATCGCCGGCCAGCCAACACCACCACCAAACACTGGAATGATAACCAGGAGTTGAACGGACAGCGTCATGTCTCCACTCCTCTCGCCCCTTCCCCACACCCACCCCAGCCACAGGACGAGAGAGGGGTGATCCACTGCCTGGGCCACTAAGAGTGCTTGCACTCTCCAGATCTCCTGGGTCCTCTTCTCCAGAGGAGCCGGTTCACCCTCCCCACCTTGCAGGCTCTCCCGGCATCCCCAACCTCTCACTCCCTCCGAAGTCAGAGTGGTCCCCTCTGCCCCAGCCTCTCAAGCTGACAGGATCAGCCACTCAGCAAATATGCTCCAGGAGTAATTGGATGCAGTGGAACATGGGCTTTTCAGCTTCTGCGTGGAAGTCTCTGGATGTCATTTAACGGCACGAAAAAAATAAGACTTGGGCTTCCCACCCACCACCGCCAGGACATCATTAATCTCAGAAGAAAGGCATCAGCGCTTCTATCACTGCGCCAGCCCCGCGAAGAGCCTGACAAATTACCGTCCAGGCCTGGCACTCAGAGGGGCGGCTTTCAAGCTAGCGTTCCATTCTTGTTCTGTCTTCGGGGCCACTGTCCCCTGACAAGAAGCAACGGAACCTCTGCCTAGGGAGAGAAAGGGGCAGGCCAGGGAAGAGGGTGGCCACCTTGGTTAGACACAGCTCACCTGCCTGGGGTGACAGGGCAGCCAGGCACCCCAGGTCCCGGCAGAGGACATGGTGGCTCGGAGGAGGAGGCCCCAAGGCTCAGTACCCCAGCCCACGTTCTAGAGCCCACCTGGATGAGGGCCTGCCTCTCAGTGAGGGCTTCCCGACCCCCACTGCTCAGGCTGAGAGGGAGATACTTTGGGGCCTATTAAAGACCAATGACAGGTCAGAAGGGGCATGTCCCTTGACTAGAGTAAGTAAGGACACACAGGAAATACTTTTCGTATACTGTAGGAAGTCTTAAGGTGGGCCTGCTGGAGAGACTCTGGGGGTGCGGCTGGGGGTGGGACCTCATCTATGGGAGGTGAGGGACATGTTGTGCTGCTGGCCAAGGCCACCCTTCGAAGGTCTAACTTATTAGTCCAGTGTTAATTGTCTTATGAACTAATTGAGGGCCAGGGTGGGGCCTGGATGAGTCAGCTCTGCATGGTCCCCCCACCACATGCTTAGCAGAACCCAGGACAGGGCTATCAGTGCTGGGGGCCTGGACCCCAGGGTCTGAGATTCTCTTCAGCTTCGAATTTCCACATTCGAGTGGAGGAGTCATCTACCCCATTCTCCCAAGTCCTACAAGGGAGGGGCTGCCTGATGAGGTGTAGCATCACTTTCTCTGTCTTGTGGGTGCCTGCTTGACCCTAATGGGCTCAGTGGGGCTGTCCACCTGGGGTGAACCACTCCCAAACAGTGGTGAGCCCAGCAGGTCTGGGTTGCTGGGGGTGGAGACGGTGACTGTCCAGACCTGCCTTGGGGCTATTCACAAACACCCCAGCCTTTGTAGTCCCCAGAACTCCAACTCAGATGAGCTTCCAAAAGCTTGGGGCTGCTCTCCTGGTTGTTGAAGACAAAGACCATTCACCCACTCCACCCCACACCCTCCCCCCCACCCCCCCCCGTGTCTGGTAGAAACCAGGTACACAGTGGTGGCTCAGGAACCCCTGGTGGCTTTAGATAAGTTTCCCTATGTCTCCCCTTGGCCCACTCCTGTAACATCTCTAACATCTAACCTCTGATGGCTAACACCTTCCCTATCAGCACCAGCCAGTAGGTGAGAGGATGCCCAAGTCTGATATGGCAGGATGGGAAGGGTACTCCCTAGGTTTGTGTAGGGACCCACCTGTTCATCACATGTGGCAGCCCTGCCCTAAGAAGACCAGACTTCTATATCCAGTCACTGGGTGGCTCAGGAGACAGACATCAAACAGCCCACTTCTTTCTCCCTCCAGCCGAAGGCCTTTGAAGCTCAGGCACCGCCCTGCCCTGTCCCAGGAAGAATCCATCCTGGGTGGGCCCAGGGGCAAGGGGGAGGGGCCAGAGCTCAGACAGCAGACCGGTGCTCTTCAGGGGACCTGCAGTGCGGTACAGCATGGGGCTTTCCTCCACATGGTGACCACGGAAGCCACAGCCTCCAAGCCTCCAAGCTCCCCGTATCTCCTCACACTCCCCTGAGGGTCTGACTCACCCTCATTCCCTCTAGAACTCACAGGGTCAGTTCCTCTTGTGGCAGGAAACGGGGGTGTAAGGAGTCACAGCCAAGGCAAGGGAGGAGGCAGCAGGAGGCTAGCAACCAGGGGACACTGTCCCTGCTCTCCTGAGAGACAGAAGGGCTGCTCTGGGGAACTTCCCAAGGAGCCCAAGAATGACAGGCCTGACAGAAATGGGACAGTGAAGGAGCTGTGAGGCTTCCAAGGCCCTCTAGGCCCCATCAGAGAAGTCATCTGAGCTGAGGGAGGGCGCACCACTGCAGAGGGAGCAAGGTCTCCCTCAGGGTACAGGGGATTTCTTTCCGCCACTTGCCCTGATCTCGTGATAAGTTTCAATTCCCTCCTTGCCACCCAGGTTCCTTCCTGCCCTACTCAGTGGGGAAGGCCCCCTTGTCCCCATGCCCTCCACACACCAGTTCACCCAGAGCCCCTCCCCTGGCGTGCAAATGCACTCACACACAAGCATGCATGCAAACGAGCATCCACACATACACACACATGTGCTCGCACATGCACACACTCTCCCAGGGCCATGAAAACACAGTATTTTCCCAGCCAACCAGGCTCCCTGAGTGTTACGGTCACGACCAGGCCTCCTGGTGGAAGCCCCCACAGTGCCAGTGCCACACCTCTCAGCCCAGCAGCCCATGTCCAGGGCCTGGCCACTGTGGCCCCAAGAGGACTCCTGAAACTGCTGCTTTCCAGCCCAATCTGAGAGTGCGGTCACTGAGCCTGATAGGAAATGAAGGACCCTGAAGTGGCCCTTTCCCCATTGCCACTAAGAACCAACCTCACCAGAACTCCAGCTGTGCACTGGGGATAAAAATCAATTCTCCTTGTGAGGATGAGCTGGATAAATTCTCGTGAAGTACCCAGAACCGTGCCTGGCACACAGAAAGCACTACATCCATGTTTTACAGCTATTACTATTTTTTGCATTATTATTGTTATTATTTTGTTTCTTTGGATTAAAAATTGTCCTTCCCTGGAGAATATCTTTGAAATGCAGACAGCCCCTGCGAAGAGGGGTGGTAAGTGGAGTGCAGGACCCTAAGGGGTTGTGAGTGCAGAGAGAACTGTAGGAGGGGCAGCGGGTGGCTGTGGGAGGGCCTCGAGGGTGCCAGGCGCTTGCCCTGTTCTCTCTGTGCGTCTCTGTCCTCTGCTGGTCCAGGCCAGACTGGCCACTGCCTAGCTCTGCTCTGGACAAAGTCTTCCCTAAGCAGCTCCTTCATCCAGGAAAAGTGACTAGATTTTTTTTTAAAAAAGAGGAAAGAAAATATAGGATACCCAGTTCAATTGGAATTTCCAATAAACAAGAAGGAATTCTTTGCTGTAAGTATGATCCATGTAATACGTGAAACATGCACTAACAAATTATTTGTTGTTGATCTGGAATTCTGATTGAACTGGGTGTCCTCTGTTTTCTCTGGCAACCATATGCCAAGGGTGCCTGAAGCCCCAAGGTTTGGGAAACAAGAGCGTGGGAATATGCCTCTGACCACTTCCCTCGGCCCCTCCCCAGGGCCCTGGGCTGTGCCCTCCCTGCTCTGCTAGGAGGCCAGTTCATACTTGCCCTAGAGGATGGCCCTCCCCCAATGCCCCTGTGTTTACTCCCCTCGAGGAGGGCCCTCTGACTTGGGCACTGACTGGGCTTCTCCAGGCCCCAGCCTGGAGACATCTTGCCCACACTCAGCTCCGCTCCAGGATCCAGGTGCCCAGGAGCAGGGAGAAGGGGCCCTGGCCGTACCCCTTCTCATTGACTGCTATCACAGCCAAGGCTCCTTTCCCAGCCCCGAGGCAGTGGTTGGGGTTCTGGAGAGGAGTCAGGTGAATAGCCCAGACACACCTGCCATCTCATCCCCAGTGGCTGGGGTGACCAGGTGTGAAGAGCAGAAGCATGAAAGCCTCAGTCATGGGGTCAAGAGAGCCTGCAGGAAAAGAGGGGTGGGTGGAGGAAATGTGCAGACCACCTGACCAAGCATTTCCTTTCTGCGTGTGCGTGAAGAGGCAGAACTATGCTAAATCAAGGGCACTGGGGATGGAGACCAAAGGCTGCTCTTGACTCAATCCAGACTCCTAGTCCCTGTTGTCTTCTGGGGAACAGCCCCTTCACAGACTCTCTGCTAACACCCAGAGGAATCCCTGCAGCTAGGAGCCAGAGGCACCCCCTGGTACTCAGCCCAATGGCCAAGGTCACCTGCTGTCTCCACTCCCCCAGAGCTGGCTTCCCTCTCACCCTGCCCATTCTGCAGTCTGTGGTTCTCTCTCACAGCCTCCCTGTGGTTTGTTTGTCCTTCTAGGTGCTTGGCAACTGGACCAATTTCAGGTACGATTCAACCTGGGCATATCTGAAGCAGCCACCCAGTTCATGACCCAAAATCACATGGACTCACCACCTGTCCGGGCTCCTGGAGGAGGAGGCAGTGTCCAGGCTCCCCCCACAGGAGGGAGCAGTGAGCCCAAATACAAACCCAAACAGGCCTCAGGCCTCGCCTTGCCAGCATGCATCCACATTGCCTACCACCTATGGTCTGGGTGAGGGACCACCTCTGGGTGTGGAACCCCTTCTCTCCCCAATTAAAAAAATCACTCAGGTCTCAGTGGTTGGATGTTTCGTCTCCTAGCCTGTCCTCCTTCAAACACCAAGGGGAGGAATTCCATTGATGTCTAGCATGGGGGCCTGTAAATACAAGTGCAGAGGGCTGTGTTGGCAGCAGGGGTCTAGATGGACAGCGAGAAGGTGGAGACCCCCAGCCCTGGACTGTCACTGAGGCACACTGTGCAACCTTGAGCCAGTCACCCACCGTCTTCAAAGTTCTGCTTCCTGAGACGTAACATTGAAGTGGGAAGAAGAGGTAGAGGGGGCTGGTTTATCACCATGGTCCTTTCCAGCTCTGACATTCAACACAATTCAACTATTGTGGGCACCTACTATGTGCCTGACCTTCCACTAAGTATGGGGTCCATGTGTGCACAGGGCAGACCAATCCAGAGGCTTGCTTCATGAACCCAGGAGGGGAGGGGCAGACTCATCAGATGACCACAAGCAAATGACAGCATATGTGACAAGTGCTCTGAGGGTGCCAGGAGGGGGCTCAGGCAAGGCCTCTTGGAAGAAGTGATGTTTAACTTCAAGGCTGAAAAGCGGGTAGAGGTTAACTACGAGTGGGCACAGGGTAGAGAGTGCACCAAATAGAAGGAACACCTCCAAGCTCCATGACTACCAGGGCCAAGGGTGGCATCTTCCAGGAAACGGAAAGCCAGTAGTGTGGCTACCTGGACATGTGAGCAAGGACTAGAACATGCCAGGCCTTGCAGGCTCAAATTTTGGACTGTACCCTGAGAGCAATGGGAAATCATGCAGTGATATGTGGACTACAGTGGGGGGTGGGGGGGAGGGCATAACCTGATTTGTGCTTGAAGAAAGCTGTGAAGAACTCCTTGGTTTCTGCAGGGAAAGGAATTTTGGTATCTACCTCCCTGGATGTCCTCTGAATGTCTCTTGGCTTTGCCTCCAAGGACCCCTTGGAGGCATCTTTTAACTACAGACTCTTTCACAGCCTAAAGTACCTCAACTGCCCACCCCCAGCTCCAGTCCTGTCAGCGCCCCTGATCTCTGCTCAGTTTCCCTCCAAGAGTTAATGACCACCCCCTTCCTTGGCTAGAGCACAGCAATGCTGGTGACTCGCATGTGCAAAGTGCCTCAAAATCCTCAGACAAAAGGGGCAGGCTGTAGCTGGGCACTGCATTATTACCCTCTTAGAGCCAGGACCCACATTAGCTAGAAGGCAGGGGGGCCCTGGCCAACCCCTCCGCCCAGCACATACTGCCAGGTAATTGGAAGATTTTCATGGTGGGCTCTGAAGAACACACTGAGCTGGAGACTGCACGTGTGAATGGGGAGAGCATTGGACCATGCTTCCCCCGGCATGGATAAATTCAGCTCCCGAAGCCTAGGACACCAAGTTCTCATTCTGAAGAAGGTCCTTTGATGCCACCCCGGGCAATAGGGACTCCTATTCCCTTCTACCCCGCCAGACACGCTTGCCAGCAGAGCTAAAAGAAGAAACAAAAGGAAATGTCCATTTGCAGTGTCATGGAAAGCAGTCCCTCAGAAGGGACTTTGTGGGTGTCTGCGAACCTCACACTCCCCGCATCCCCCACCCCGCAGGCCCAGAGTGTAATTGGCAGCTCCGGTTGGGGCCCAAGCCCGGGCTAAATGGCAGGTCAGCTTCCTAGAGCAGCCCCAGATGGAGGCGCATCCTCCCCTCTTCTGCTTTTAATTCCTTGTGGCTAGCATGTTTATTTTGGGTGAGGGAAAAAAATCGGATGTTTATCCTTCGAGGAAATTATCGGCTTGCTTTCCTTCCTTTCCCCCCTCCCTTCCCGCCCCCCCCGTGTCTTTGGGCTCTTCATTCAGTTCCAGGAGAGACCCTCATCCTCCTAGCCCCAAAATGTGAAAAAAGAACAAAGCTGGCCCAGGCTCGAGGCCACAGACAGCCCTGCCAGACAGTCCCTGGAAGCCGCAGAGAAGGAGGTTCCGTGGCAGGGAGACAAAACCTGGAGGCCAAGAGAGCTCGGGGAAACCCACCCCTGACTCTCAGCTCTCTGCCTGTGCAATATGTGGGGGCACCGTCCCTTCACACGGCCTCCTCCCAGAAAAACAAAATGAGCTCGTAGATTGCTGAGATCTCTCAAAAAGCAGCTAAGAGGGACTTCGCATACGAGAGCATCAGCGTCCCCCCTGCAGGGATCAGGAGGACTGATACTTTCATCATCATCAGACAGCGTTTGTGGAGCACCTTCTACAGCCTAGGAACTGTGCCAGATGCTTAACATGTGGCCCCTCATTCAGTGCATTCCTGCACAGCCGCACAGCCCACAGGCCCTTCATACATGTTCTCTCATTCAATTGTCACAACAATCTAATAATGTAGGTGTTGTTGTTCTCCTTTTATAGAGAAGGAAATTGACGTTCTGATAAGTTGAGGAACCTACTCCCTGTTCTGTGACTGGTGGTGATGAAGTCTGGGGTTAACTCAAGTCTTCTTACTCGGTGCTCAGAGGTCACGAGTACTCTAATTTTGATCTCTGGGCTACATAAAATAAAGGCAGGCGTTCCATTTATTCAGAAGCCAGGTGGGCCAAGAGTGAAGGCTGGAAGTTCCAGGAGAATTTAAAGGACTGTCTCTCCCAAGCCTCTTCCCTTCCCTCAGCTTCAGCTACTCTCAATCAAGTGTGACTTGTGGGGAGGGCCAGCTCCTGGACACTCCCAGCAATGGCCTGGCCCAGCTCAAGGTCATTACCATCCACCATCCCACCTGCCCAAGGCAACTACCCCAACAGTTTACCCTCCTCAACCCACTGAACCCTGCCTCCCTCCTGTGTGTTAACTGCTCTGGGGGAAGGAACAGGGTAGAAAAAGAGAGGGAGCCTTATAGGAAGGCTCCCTGATGGTGGTGATGATGATGATGGTGGTGGCAGTGATGGCAGTGGAAGGTCCAGGTATCAGGGCTGAGCAGCCTTGACATAGGAAGAAACCCTAGTAAATGCAATAGGTGGTGTAGTTTAAAAAACACAACTTTCTTCCCTAGCATACCTAAATTCACATAGAATCCCTACAACTTGATAATCCTGTAATTTCGGGCAACTCCCTTGTTCTGTACCTGTGTTTCCTCTGCAAAAGAGGTTAAAAAAAGTTTAAATGTAAGTAAGTGCCTTTCTTAAAGCTCTGCTGCAATGGTTACATGAGATAGCATGGAAGGCAGCCAGGCGCAATGCCGGGCCCGCAGGCTGCTCAGTAAATGCAGGTTTTCCTCTCCTTTCCTGCCTCCACCTCACCTGCTCTGCTCCCCAGCTCAGTAATGGGAAAGAGTCACCTTCCCCAAGTGAGCGTCCTTCTCAAGAGACCCATCAAAAGGCCAAGCCCCAGCCCAGCATCCCCCTCCCAAGCTCGGCAAAACATTGGGTGGCTTGGATCAGGAGAGACAACCCAGTTCCTTAGCAACTAACAAGCACTTCCCTGTAAAGACAAAGACCCTTCACTCAGAATGCTCCCTCCCCCACCCCTCCTCTCTCCAGGTGACTGATCTCAGTGCAGGAGTTGGGTTAGGGGCTGCCCACCCCCCAGAGGTCTAGGGGCCTCCTGCCCCACCCTCCCAGCAGTCCTGATAGTCCCTATAATTATCCCACAGGACCTTTCATCCTGGTGCTAATTACCTTTCACATTTAGCCCCGGGGGCTGATGGGAGACACATGAGGTGGGCGCACACACATGCACGCACGTGCGCACAAACACACACACAAATGCCCATACGTATTTCTTCTTCTGAGGGACCTCCCTCCGATTTTAGAGACTGGAAACTAAGACTGGGGAGAGGATCCAGTTCCTTCAGGATTCCCATCTGATCTGAGAAACAGGAGCCAAAGAACCTAGCTCAGGGAGAAGGGAGGACAGGGTCGCTGAGTGTTCTGGGGGATAGGGGCCAGGAAGAAGAACCTTTCAAAAGGACTGTGGAAAACTGCCTGGACAGAGATCTTGGCTCTGCATGCCACCTTGGTGCCACCATATGCAAGCTGTCCTGCTTAACACAGAAAGGGCATTTCAAAGGGAAAGTGAACTATTTTAATATAAAAAGAAAGGAAGAGAAACATTGGAAAGAGAAGGAAACAGAAAAGAAGGACACACAGCCAGCCGGCCATGTGGTTTGATGCAGCCAAAGAACCACCCAGACCGTGGGAGTGGAGGCCTGGTTGATTGGCAGCGCCTGTGCTGTCATTCACTGCCTTGCAAGCCCCAGCAAGTTGGCCACCCTCGTCTGGGCCTCAGTTTCTTCATCTATAAGATACTTTAGGACAGTGTTCTCCGAGGCCCCATTCTAGCTGAATGGTCTGCAATTTTGCGTGGTTATTCAAGAAAATGGTAGAGAAAGTCACTACCACTGTCCCCTTGGCTGGGAGGTGAGTGGACGCCACTAGAACAGGGTAGAGAGTGCATTCTTGGCATTAAGAATGAAATAGAGCCAAGTGCATTTGGCTGCAGGAGCCAGAGAACCCAACAGGGGGCCCAGAGGAAAGAGGAAGAGTTGCCGATCTGGAAGCTGGGGACCCTGGAATTTCAGGGAGACCCCTCCCAGAAGCAGCAGCCAGTGGCAGAGCTTATCCTTCCCAGATCCCAGCCTTGGGACACCCATTCCAGAGCCCTGGTAGAGGGAAGGTGGCAGAGCTGTACACAGGCCCTGGGTCTGCACTCAGGGACAGAGGGCAGAAATGTGACGCAGGCCCTGGGTAGGGCACAGAAGCACCCTCTTTGTTCCTTATGAACTGGAGCCCGCCCCACTGCCTCCTGGCACTGCCATAAGTCAGCTGGGCAGGGAGCAGAGGGTTTGAAGGAAAGAGGCAGAGCCTGTCAGAAAGGTGAGCACAGCAGGGCCCTAAGTTCCAACTTTTGTGTTCATTCTCATGGAGAAAGCGGACAGCGGGCTAAGTGGGTGTCCCTGAGGGCCTGGGCAGAAGAACAAGCAGGGCCAGTGCCCTAAA